CACCAAGTGCTCACTGCTCATTTTTCTGCTTTATTTTCCACATGCTTATCTTAATCCTTTATGAAATATTATTCAAGGATAAGTCAATCCCTCTAATCTCCATGAATATTTCAACTTTTCTCACTACTTTAAGAAGAAGAAAAAAACAGAAGGACATGAAAGTTTAATATGCTAATTCAACGCTTTTTTTTTTACTTTAAAAACAAAATCAATAATCTGAAGAGAGAAATGATTAATTTACTTAATTCTGTACTCATAAATCCACGCGTTGAATTATTTATTTTGCATCGTACGTAGTCATGAAATCATGTGAATGGACAGCATTTTCGATGGTAATATTATTTTTATATTTCTCTTTAATTTGTTTAATGGACCGCTTTTTCAATGGTAATATGCAAATTCACATTAATTTATTTGAAGAGAAGTGCTCCGTTGCCTGCCTCCTATCATGATTTTTTATGCGTTAGGATGATTTGCATAGTACATATATAATTTAGACATTTTTTTTGTAAAAAATAAAAGAAATTGAGTAATAAATATAATATTCTGATCTTTGAAAAGCGATAGTCATAGTTGTTTGCGTAATTTTAACATCTTTTTTCCACATGATTTTGGTTGTTGTCATGATAACATGATAGATAATGGATATATAGTGGTTGGTTGATTTTAAGTTTTAGCAAAGTGCTCCACTATATGTATAGCAAATTAAAAAATGAAACATTGTGTGACGATAAAAAGATTTCAAAATTGTCACGTATATATGGACATATATGCCTCTTTTCTCATTTGATCAAGTAATCAACGAGGACATATGGTTGAGTTTCTTTTTAGGGTATTGTTTAAAAGACACGGTGTAATGTGAATTGAAAATTAAAGGAAAATAAGATGGAAGAAACATAAAGTGTATTTTTCTTTAATAGAGATAAAGATGAGATATTTTGTGCTTTTAATAAGAAATACTAGTTCTTTTAGCAATTAAAAAAATTAAGAAGATTTTTCCATGTGGGTTCTCCCTCGATTTCTACATTGAGTTTTACATTTTTTGTATATATTTTTCTACAAATAAAAATCGAGTCTTCATTCGCTGAAGTTTAAAGTATCATTACTTTTTTAACATGTATATCCATTTTATCTGAAGAAGATTAGATCTCTTAAGGATACACGATAATTTCTTATTTTTGTCTTTTTAGTTAATTTCGATTTTCTGATTTATTATTTTGAACATAGATTAATAACAACACATATTTTAAAGGCTTATGTCAACTATGTATCAATTCGAAGTGATAGAGGGATTTAACAAGTACAAGGCTGATTTGAAATATTTAAGCGGTGAATTATATGGATAACTTTAAAGGACCATTGATGACTTAAATCTATAGTTGCATCGTGCACACACGTGTGTGCCCTACCGTCTCAAATAGTAAGCGATTATATAATTTTCTATAAGGGGAATTTTCACATATAGCCACTCAAAAATAAACTTAATTATGCTCCATGGCTATAGTTTGCTAATTACGATTTGTAGCTACATGTTATAGGGAGGAGAGAGGCGAGCGAGTTTGGGAGAGGGAGGAGAGAGGTGAGCAATAGAGGGTATAGAGTACAGAGAGGCGAATTGTTTGTGTATATTTGTCGAATTGTATATGTATATTTGCCAAATAATTGTATATATGTAACTAGTATACATATGCATTTATATATCTGGCGAGCGAGATTGGGAGAGGGAGGAGAGAGGCGAGTGAGAGAGGGCAGAGACTGGAGAGTGGTGAACTGTATATATACATCTGTCAGATTATTGTATATATGTAACTGGTATACATAAGTATTTGTATATCTGGAGAGCGAAATTGAGAGAGGGAGAAGAGAGACGAGCGAGAGAGGGAAAAAAGTGGAGAGAGGCTAATTATATTTGTATATCTGTCATATAATTGTATATATGTGTGTGTAATTTGTATATGTATAAACGACATAATTACGAACACATACCAATTAATTAATTAGCTAATATAGCTATAGATTGTTTGATTTGTTGACATGTTATACAGGCGAGGAATCGCATATTATACTCATAAAAAAGAATGTTATATGAATTATAATGTAAAGATGGAGATGGTAATTATATAAATGTTATTTTTCACTAATAAGATTTTGTCAAAAATTTATCTTAATCCTAAAACTATGAGAGGTTTTAAAAAAGTAAAGTATCATGTATTTATATTTATATTCTTATTTCATATAAATAATATATAAATTTTTGGATGTCTGTGGACCTTGCTTAGTTATGCTAAAAAACAGCCCACCAACATATTAATTACTGATGATTTCATCAACCAAATCGGTTCTGATGTAATGTTAGAGCTATTGATACATCCTAATTCAATAGTTTTATCTTGATTTTCAAATTTAATGATTATAGTTAAATTTCAAACTCCACATAAAATACAAATATATTCATATCTGAAATTTTTGATTGACCTTTTCTTTTAAAAAAAAATTATACATTGATTTTTTTTTTTTTTTAATGTTCCAATGCACCAAGCTATTTGCAAGAACACCTACCACGGGTGAGCTTCTATTTCACATTTTATTTATTGGAAGCCCCTTTCCTTTCCTCCATGTAACATATGTATGTATTGTTTGTCATGGATTTTGTTTTTATTATGATAAAATATTACTCCTTATAGAGAGCATACATAATTTTATATTATAACACATGTAAAATTAGTTCCAACAAAAACTTGAATGTCACTATAAAATATTATTATAAAAAAATGACTGTTATCATGATCGACTCAAAAAGAATTGAGGCCTAAAGTTAAATTTCATAAATATCTTAATTTTTTTAATTTGACATTATATAACATACTCAATGTAATCTTAGTAAATGGTATCCGAATAAGGTAGGACGTACACATATAGCTTTTGAAATAAGAATATAAACAAAGCAAAATTTTCAGAAATATAATACAAAGTTAAAATAATAAAACTTGACTCAAGAATTTGATATAATAATATGGAAATTGTGTTGTGTTGAACTTAATAAATTGATATAATGACATTAAAATATTATGCGGTGCTTCAATGTAGTGATACCTTGTTGTTATGCTTGAAATTTTGGAGAATGACACTAAAAAATAAATTTTGACCTTTTATAAACGGATAATAATAGATTTTGCAGAAAGCATTAACTTTTCTACAAAATTTTAAATAATAGTAATAAATAATATATCCATCTATTGCCAAACCTTGTTATTTTTTTGAAATTTTTTCTTTGTACCTTGAATTTGCCAATCAACAGACAACATGCTCAACCAATGGAATTCCCACACATATTTTAATAATTTGACCTAAGTATTCTTTTAGCACTATTGGTGGGTAAAAAATGTGCTTAATTGGTTCAATTATTGACTTACATTCAAAGTATTGGATCATAATTCATTATGTTAAAAGTGGTTGGCAGTTTGTTTGAAACTCACCCTTAAATGATCCAACAATTGAAGATAAAGTCTGTCTCCTCTGTTGACTTCTAATTAAAAGATTTTCGAATTATATTAATTGATCTGTATTGATCGAAATGGTAATGGAGTAGAGCGAGAGTCGGGTGGACCTAAACCTTGGTAGCGTAGGATGGATCTGAGTGAAGTATCAATAGTTAGGTGACTTTTGAGTTATAAAATAAAGTTGAGTGACTTTCTATTTGAATCATTCAAAGTTGACTGACTTTTTGAGTGAACTATTCAAAATTGAGTGACGATATGAGATAATATTATCTCGGTTGCTTTTCTAAAATAACTTCTTTTTGGGGGATAGGGTGGGAGCCAGGGCATTGCTGCCTTAAATTTATGTTTAATTACATCATGAATTGCTATTTTAGATGATAACTTCGTCAAAGTATTTCTCATATGATAAAACAAAACTTTGAGGATTGAGTTTATTTTAGATTATCATTAACTGAAAAGTTAATATAAATTGTAAAACAATTGCTGTGAAGAAAGTAGAAAAAATAATTCTGTTGGGAAGGATTTAGATACAGGTAAATCATATTTAGCAGTTTTCTTAGTAAAAAGTAGCAAATTATACCGACAGAATTTATGTGCTGGAGGGCTGAGTGGGGCAGGTTGAAGTTTTAGCAGGTTTATGCGGTTTTGCCCCGTACTTGTCCCATACCATTATCGTCCCTACATATTGATCAAACACATTTACTAAGAAAATTTTAATTGAAAGTATTTTGTACTAAACTGACTTTATTGATGATGTTTTGAAACTTTATATTTATCTATTACTATTTTATTTAGTTATTTTATAATTAAAAAATAATGAGAAAAAAGTAATAAATATCTATTGATCTATTAAAATAGAAAAATAAATTAAATATCTATTTTTATATAAGAGTCAAGTAATTTTTTTTTAAAAAGGAGTATTTATTTGTTTGTTTATAGATCTAGATAATCTTTTTAACCCCCAAAAAAGGAGAAAATTTTAGAAATGAAAAACATAAAAGGAATAAGAAGGCTTTGTAGCTATAGCTATAGTTATGTTTGCTATGGAGGTTGCGGTTTGTATATTTGTGTCAATTTGTATATTTCGCTTGTGAATATACAAAAGGATAAGTATACAAATTATGTATTTATACATTTAGGAATTTTTTAGTACTCCGTTTATACATTTTGCTTGCCAATATACAAATAGGGTAATTTATTATGATTTTTTCGTAAATCGTAAATAAATAGCTAGGGTAGACATAAACAAAATTCTGAATTTATACAATCAAGAAACGAATAATATAAATTCTGAATTTATACAAATCAAGCGAATAACAAGATTCGGGAAAACTATAACAGCTTGTTATAATTTTCTTTAACTGTAGATATTTCTATCTACACACACTATATAGAAGCATGATGTCAGGACGACCACATCATAAATTTATTGTACATCGCGCTATAGAAGTTGGACAAGGTTCTACTTTAGTTATTTAAAACAAAAGTAAGGGTATTTCCGTCTTTTTCTTCAATTCTTTTCCTCTACTACGCTTCTGGATCATTCTTCCATTTTCTTCATATGTCTCTCCATAATTTCTCATTCCTCATCTTTACTGTTAACCGTAAGAGGGCAACTGGGTAAGGTAAAATCAAAGGAATATATGAATCTCTTACTCCTCTTCGAAATTTCAATAAGAAGAAGATTCACTAAAGTTTTGGATTTAGAATTTTTTTAAAATTCTCTTAATTTTTCATCGATTTAGAGTTTAGCTCTTCCGTGGGTAAGGTGAGTTCTTATTTCACTTAAATTTCCCCTTCTTAATATGTCTGCGATTTTTTTCATATGCTTGCATTCACTGAAAAATAGTGTTTGTTGTCACTCATGAACTTTTCATAAATGCCTTTTTCTTTTCTATCACATATCTTAATTTTCAGATTCTTTGCTAGCTGCATCAGTGTTTGTGATAAGGTAGATGAATACATTACAACTCTCAATGGTTAGTTGTTCATATAAGTTTCTTCACACTTACATTCTCTTTGAGGCATGAATACGAGGTACAATCAGATGGTCTTGCAGAGTACAAGCCCTGGCAACATAGATTATGGTGATTAGTAACTTCAAAAGAACTTTCTGATGGTTTTATTTGATATTTTTGTATGATTTGGATTATTTGGTTTTAACACAAAACCATACAAGAAGTACAATTTTGAGTTGTCTTTCAGGATGAGAAATCTTGATGAACCTAAAAGTTGTCTCATGTAAAAACTGATTGTGATCATGAATGGATTATGGACACGCAGTCTGGAAGACACTATTGTTACTTTGTTGAGTGAAAGATGGCAGATTTCCACCAAAGATTGGTTCCTTGCCTCCATTTTTATTATATGCTTTACTTGAGCCGTAGTCTATCAGAAACAACCTCTCTACCTTCCCAAGGTAAGGGTAAGTATGCATACACACCATCCTCCCTAGACCCAATTCTACTTCTGGAATTGCATTGGTATGTCATTGTTGTTGTTTGCCTCCTTTGTTTGATTCAGGGTTAGGGGCAGACTAGCTATACTATATACTTCTAATTTTACTATGTTACTATCAATACATATGGAGGAAATACATAAAGTCCCCATTGAACTTATACCTTATTTTGAAGTAGACACTTAAAGTTTGCGGAAGTCCTATTAACCCATTAAACTATTTTTGACCAGACTAAATATAGCATTTTGACCCGCTTCCGCATCTGTTGTGTTTTCACGTTTTCGAGGCGCGTGAGTATTTTAAAAAATAACCCCAAACCAATATAAAGCAGTCATGTGGCATTGTAAATTGAATTCTTTACTTTTTTTAACCCCAAACCAATATAAAGCAGCCATGTGGCATTGTAAATTGAATTCTTTATTTATTTTTTTAAAACCCATCTTCCCCAAAATTAATTCAAACACCATTGACAGCCATTGAAGCTGCTACAGTGTTATGGCGAGTAAGGACTGCAATATTTCTCTAACTTTGATTCACTTTCGCAAGATGAGTACTACATTAATTCATCAACAACCTTCGAATTTCTGACTTTTCAATAAAACCCATTTTCAAAATATATGAATCACTACAAAATTCACTTACAATGTCAAATAAACTTCTTTTCAAAAAAATTTCAAATAACTAACCTATGAGCCTTCACTTCTTCGTTCCGACACCACTATTCAACAAATTTCAACTAGCAATGGTACCAACTAGCTTCGCCTCATGAAGTTTCTTAGGGTTTTGATCGGTCAAAGAGAGACGAGGGTAGGTGAAAGTGAAATGGGTTGGAAGTTTCTTAGGATTTGGGTTATGGGTTAAAAAATGAATGGGTTAGGATAAAACCCAGCCTTTGTTAAATGGGTTGGAGGTGTGGCACACGCTCTTGAATTGAGAGCACTGATGGTGAAAAAATGATGTATTTATTGTGCTTTTGGATGGTTTTGTGGGGTAATAGGACCCCCGCAAACTTAAGGTGTCTACTTAAAAAAAAGGTATAAGTTCCATGGGGTAATTATGTATTTCCTCATACATATGGTTATACCTTTTGAATTTTTCGTTTAACGTGTTAACTGTATATGATTTGGTTACTTTGATGGAGTTACTTGCCCCCTACATTTGCAAAGAGGAGAATGATCTTAATGTTGGTTTTGGATGAATCTTTACACATAATAACAAAGTATAATTTATCATAAAAATTGATTAGTTAGAAAAGAAAATGGAGAATTATTCGCAAGCTCTCTTAATTTTTCAATTCCGGTATAATCCAAGAGGGGACGTCATATATGTATGGTACATGGATGACAGCGATGAGGACCATAGGCTTCCTCAGCACCATGATCCAAAGAAATTTGTGTCTCTTGACAAGCTTGCTGGTAAAGATCAGGCTAAGAATTATATATGTATAAATTATCTGTGAGGAACAGAAAATCCCCCTTTAAAAATACCGATTCAAAAAAAATCGCCAGGTATCAGGGCAGTTTATCTCTTCCATGTTCCCTCCAATACCTTTCGATAAGTTTTTGAGTTCTCTGAACAAGGATCTCACATTTGTAAATTCTGGCTAAGTGGATAAATTACTTTTCAATTAATACTACTAATCTAATTTGTTGCCAACTCTCTTGGTATTTTGGGGTTAGAAATTGAACAGGTAGATATATTTTTTATGTTGTCATTGATAGATGAAAATCCTACATTGATAAGGATGTATTATCATTGGTCCAAATTGAACAAGGAGTAAAATAATGAACCAACCCTAAGAGTGGTTACAAGTTGATTGCTGGTTTTGTCCTGCCTTCTTAATTACTATATGAAAAAAATCGGAACTTGGAATGCTCTGCTAGAGACTTGATGCCTACATTTTATGAGACTATTGAGGAGTTGAATATAATTCGGAAAGATCACCAATATTCATACATTGTATGTTAAAGTTACAATCTGAAACCTTTCCTCAGTGTATGGAAACAAGTCAGCCCCTTTTTTTTAATGAGTACTAAAGCTTTAAGGATTCATAATTTGCTTCAGGATTTCTTTGAGGTTTGCCCTGAGAAACTACCAAATTACGAGGAGAAGATCAAGAGATTTTTTTGAAGAACACTTCCATACCAATTAGGAGATCTGTTATTTTGTTGCAGGAAGTGGTTTGATGTTGTTTATTGATTGGATTTTTCTATTCTGCCTTCCAACTATCGTTGCTAAATATATACTCCTGGGTGTAATGTGAATGAGAGCTGGATTTGCATCTGGGTAAAGAAAGGTGGAATGATTGTGCCTTCCTACTGGAATATATTACCGCTTCACGCTTGATTCATATTGCTCTTAAGAAGTTAGGTTTAAATAACCTTGAGTCTACTTTTTTTGTCGAAGCATTCGTAGAATACATCAGCGTTGGCTTATATGTAGTGTATGTATATTATTTACACTCTCATGTCAATGAATAAGTGAATGTCGCACTTCGCATACTCAGATGGATATATTAAAAGTACATATGGTGGGGGCCGAATCAACTGGGTCACCGGTAAAGAATCTCTAAAGCAGTAAGGAGTAAGGAGATTAAACTCTCAGATGAGACTAAGCAGCTACCGACCGTTCCGACGTAGCAACACTACATTTCGGAGCGTGATATTTTGTACGTAATATGGGTATATAATATGCAACAATTAGTATGCGATGTTTTTGTTATATGATTTGGCGATCACTTACATGCATCAATTTCTCCACTAATATTAGCAATTTTTCATAATAAATTTCATTTGAATGACATATTTTAATGTTTGTGTGTTGCGAATCTTTGATACATTTACAGTGCTCTGCTCTTAAAGTTCGCTAAGCAGGGGAAGCATAATTATGATTAATATTTATTTTTGGCTTAACCTTGTAAGACAATGAAAGTTGATAAAGTTTCGGTTACTGACCTAAACAATGCGACGAATGGTGCACGCTAGGGGTGTCAAAAATGATTCGTCCAATCCGCTCAGAATTTTAAGGGTTGGGCTCAAGATAATTTTGATTGGGTTCAATCTCAACTCATTCAAGCTTAACCCATTTTAAGAGAATCCTCAATTGAGTCCAATTCAATCTCCAATTTCAACCCGTTTTAAAACTCTTTATTAAGATATGTTTTTATATTGAAGGTATGAATTATTATCTATTTAACATCTTTTAGGATTTATCTATCCATTTGTTACTTTTAAAAAATAATAATCTTGAGTTGAAATTTAAATTGTGACTATGTTAAAATTATTGAGATTAAGCGGGTCAAATTGGACGGATCAAGATTCAACCCTTTTTTTAGCCCATTTGAGCCCAAAGTCAACTTGGGCGGGTCAAGACCCAATTCGATTTCTATTTCAACCCATTTTAATATCTCTAATTTCAACCCAACCCGCCTATTTGACACCCTAGTGTTGTGTCACTCGAACCATGTCCGACTCATCAAGATCTGCCGAGAAAGTAAACATTTACATCTACAAATCTTTGTAAGTCAATAAATGTGGAATAATATTAATAAAAAGAATTTAAAGACCAAACGTCGCTCATAAAGGTAATCAAAACGTTTGCTTAAGAGCTTGGATCCACTAAAAATTGGTCAAATCTATTTTTAAGTCATTTTTAATTTTTTAGAGTCTTTGATAAAGTTAAAAATAACCTAAAATAAATATAAAATAATTTCTAAAAAATTAAAAGTATGTATTCACCTACTTTTCATTTTTCAATTCAAAAGTTACTAAAATTTAATTTTCTATAAACTACTTTTAAAAAGCTATTTTTTTTTAAAATTAAGTCAAATGGGATTTTAATTAAATATAATAATTCCAACTTTTATAATATTGGATTTGTATTACAGCTCATCACCAAACAACGAGAGTCACATTCTAGATCACAATTTTATAATATTGAGTTTGTGCAAACAACGAGAAATCACATTCTAAATTGCAACCTACAAGCACCAAACAAGGACAAATTACTTAGGGGTCGTTTGGCAGAGTGTATAAACGTAATGTTCAATAGAGTGTATTAGTAATACTTGCATTAGTAATGCTTGTATTAGTTATGCATAGATTATTTTTTATGTATTGTTTAATTTGGTGTAATAAAAATAGTATGCATTGTATAAAAATATTTATTTACAAAAATATCCTTCACAATTATGGTGGAGAAGATGTAAAAGTGCTTTTGAGGGGAGTTGAGTTTTTAACTATGCTAATGCATGTATTAAATCTCTTTGCATTACTAATACCTAGAAATCCATGGTAATAGTAATACACTCTTCAATACACAATAGAGTGTATAACTAAATGCTTGCATTAGTTATATATAATATGAAAAAGTGTACCAAACAAGGGAGTACTAATACACAGAGTTAATGCATGAATTATTTTTGCTAATACACTCTACCAAACGACCCTTAAGAATGCAAATTTGTTGGGCCCGTGCTTATCTAGTAATATCTAATATAGGTTAAATGTTTGTTATTCTGCATAGTTTCCCCGAAAGAATGGTCTAGAAAATCCTCTCCACCAATTATTGGATCCTTTACATGGGCCTACAATACACTTGTTAATGAGCAGCCCAAACTTTGAAGTCTTTTTAGTTTGTGGGCTTCGAAACGGCTGATTCCCTTCATCCTTTTTTATCCATCATTATATTTTGGGGGTTCATGTGGATATAAGTCCTATATAATATTAGTATCTATTTAACTCAAAAAGCTAATTTCTACAAAAATAAAAATAAAATATCATGGTCTAGTATTTTCTCATTAATTTTTAATTTCTAAAAAGTAATTTTACACCGTGATAAAAAAAGTTCATAAATTGTAAAAGAAAAAGGAAAAAAAGAGGAGGCCATTTATGAAATAGGTATCCCAAACAAACCATGTAAAGTGGAAACAAGACTTACTTTTTGGGAGTGTTTGGTAGGGGGAAAAACATATTTTTCTGTTCCAATTATCTCATTTTTGGAAAATATTTTTCTCAAAAGCAAGTTTTTAAAAAATGAAGAAAACAACTTTCTTGATAAACAAATATAAAAAAAAAATTCATGAATGGCGCTCATTATTGATTGTATCCTCTCCATTCGTCAATATCTTTGAACAATATTTTTTGCTTGATAATCAAATATTAGACAATAAATATTAGTATCTTTTGTGCAAAACATTTCAAATATTCTTATCAAGAGTTATAAGAATAGTACTAAATAGAATGTATACGGAATGATAAGATTATGTTGGAACCATTTCATATCCATGTTTTGGTTTGAATCGTATTAATAGTTGTTCTGTCTTTACACATACTTATCCATATAGTAATAACTCGTGTATTGTTAATATCATGACTTGTTGTGTATCAATTATACACCCAATAATACTAAATAAGATGTATGACTAATATTGTGACCTGATTGGTTGTAGTGGTGTGGTTACAACGTAACTTTCATAGATTAATTTTCTTCCAAGTGTTTGAAGACAAATATCTTTAAATTGGATGATAAATATATGGATGCTCTAGTCTTCTTTAAAAACTTTCTTCGTCAACGTTTTGTTTTGTGAAAGTGAAATGTATTGTCTTAATTGTTAGATAGCATGATTTTTCTGAATTCGAAATACAACTTTGACCAAATTTGTCTCAAACTATGGCAAAAATAATAATAATACATGCATTATAGCTAGTATATGGTCGACCTCTTCAAAATATTAGGATCATATATAATTTATACGCAATGTGAAAAGTATATTATTCGCTCAATCTTAAATTATGTAGCGCAATTTCATTAAGACAACATAATTTAAGGAAGAATAAAAACTTTTGAAATATATTGTTTTGAATTAATGCTTAAGAAAATATATCATACTACAGTATCGTGGAAGAAAAAATCATGAAATATTTTACCTTTTGAAAATCATCCTCTAGATAAAATATTAGTTAGAGTAGTGGTAATAACAAGCTTACTATTTGTGTTATGAACCAGCCTCAGCTCAACGTCAATAACTATATGGATTTCATACAACTAAATACTAATTATTGGGTCGAAAAGAAGCAACAAAATTGGAAGGCCTTCACGAAGGTTGATTTGAGACCCAGACTCAAATTAACAACTAGATAAAAGGACGAAGAATGAAAAAGAATGATTTATGCAAATTGTTATGAAGAGTCTACATTCCCTCATTCCCTCTGTGTATCTAGCTTCTCGTCTCTTTCTAGTTCCTATTATCCTTTAGTTAAGTTGTTTAACTATTGTTACTTCCCAGAATTGCCATTGTGTAATTGGAATTTCCTTATGAGTTTATGCTGAGAATTAGGTTCATTACACGTTGCGTCATAATTTATATGACACATTTTGGATTTCAAGATTCAAACAGATCTATCTTTGATTGTAAAATTTTTCATATATATTTTTAATATTTTGAATTGTCAATTATTGTGACTTATAGTTCTTTTTACGTAATTTACAAATATAAAAATTTTGTTTCAAAAAAGTTAAAGATTTCATGCACAAATTGTTGGGAAAGGCAAGGCACTAACAAGAATGCCCGACAGGATTACAATGGAATAATACCCAAGTTTAACTTTCCCTTTCAATTTGACCCAAGAGAAGACAAACCAAATCAAGCAATACGATGAATGGACAACAATTATATCAATCGAACAAAAATAACAAGATAAGAATAATCCAATCACACAAGACACAACGATTTACGTGGAAAACCCTTCGATGTGAAGAGTAAAAAACCACAGGATCAAAAGCTCCACTATAAACACCAAGAGTTACAAAATTGGCCACAAAACAAGCGCCAAACAACGAGCAACAACAAAACAAGATTGCACCAAAACTAGAGAATTAAAGAAGAGATTTCACCCAAAAATGAGCTACTGTTCACGCTCCAAAATCAGAAGCTACAGAACTCCAAATCCGATCTCCACCGTTGAATTGCAAGAACCAAATGCTGAGAACCTCCAGTTCAAATTTGAGCACGATCCAACGGTTAAAGAAGCAGCAAACTTTGTCTGAAGCAGACAATTTTCAGAAGCAAAAACGAGATTTTTCTCTCAATCTCTAAAACGAATCTCTTTTGATTTTTCTCTCGTGTTTCTGAAAATAAGACCAAATAAACCTTATATATATCACATAATATTTGGGTTATGGGCTAAAGTGGGCTGATCCTAATAAGACTTTTATTTATCCACATAAGAAGGGGAAAAAAAAGATCCTAAACCCAACACAAATTTTTGATCAAACTTAAACTGTTTAGTTTTTTAAAAATAAAAAATACCACATCAATTCGAACGCAGGGAATATAAGGTACGAAGATATTATCTCAATATTACAGAAGACATGTAAAGGTTCGTATCAAACCATCGTCTATCAATAGCAAGTTGCAACAAGTGATACGGATATATTTTGGGATATCATTTATTAAAGATCAATGAGCTTACGTGTAGAATCCACTTGTTTGGAGGAAGATATTATTAACAATTTAAGGTAAAAAGAACATTTTATGCAATACTAAATTAACAAATTAAATAGATATTTATTAATATCACTATCTCTATAAAACACAAAAACTTGTCATTTCTTGAATGATGCGGACCTTCTTTTTTCCCAATAAATTATTAGGAGTAATGCTCAAATTATTTTCCATCAATTGCTGAATTTAGCGTATCGAATAAATAAGGTGAATAATAACAATAATAATAATAATAATAATAATAATAATTCCAAAAAATAAATATCAGCTACCTTCAGCGCCAAAATTAAAATAAAAAATATCAATGTCCATTACTGACAGCGAGGGTATATTTAAACAAAATATTTATTCGCCACCAACTCCTTTATTAAATTTTGTTTTATTGGAATATTTTTTTCGCATTTTATCTACTAATTTAGCATGTGGTGCCAAAGGTATCAATCAAGGTTCACTTTCACGTTATTGGTGCAAGATACTCACTGCCAAAAACAGAAAAAAAGAAAAAAAAGGGAAGGCTAATATTGGTTGAAAATCAATAAAATTAGTGGAATTTATAACAAATTCATTTATTAATTTACCTATGATATATTTATTTCTCTAAAAAGTGTAAGTTCATTTTTAGTATTAAAATTAAAACTATAGTATTCCTATATTTTTATTATTCATTTCCATTTTTTATGAAGTAAAATTTAAGTATGTTATTTCAAGTTAAGTGAAATTTTCTTGATCGATTTCTAAAATTCTTTTTTCACCAATTTTTGTTTTAAAACCTCTTGAAATCCCCCCCCCCCTACGCCCAACCACCTACCTACTCTATTCCATCATAAAGATCAATAGCGATGTTCTTGCAGTCTACGTTGCTTATTCTTTCACGTGACTCGAACAGTTAACATAATTAATGATAGAAATATAATCAAATTTGAATTCATGCTTTGAATACTTATCCAATTATATAATAACTTGTCAACAGTCGTTTATCCATCAAATTATATTTATTATTTTTTAGTATATCGTTATCATTAGTTTTTTTATTTTGATGAAATACTCACTCCCTGCTTTCTGAACATTTTCTTACTTTTGTATTTTCTCAAAAATAATAAAATAAAAATATTGATAATAATTACATCTGTTTTCTTTCTTTCCTTTTCTTATTTTAGGGTAGAAAAAAAAAGATCAAATTGTGTAATTCTAACTATTCATCTTTCTTTAAATCTTCCTAATTGTTTTTTTTAAACCAATGTAAATTATCCTAAAGAACACTCAATCTCCTAATCACCCTTTAACAAAGGTACTAAGTAAGCTAAACCTCCACCAAAACTCTAGTTACATAAATCTCCGCAATAACTTCCTAATTGTTACGATTAAAACAAATCTTCTCTTTTTTACCCTATTTTCTATGTATATACTAATAACTAATAATCTTCTCACTTATCCTAAAACGTGACTTGTAATCCCCTTATCCATTAGGAAAAAGTTTTGTACTGAAAAGCCCGTTTCCTGTTAGTAACCAAGTAATTTCGTAATAGTTTCGTTGTAAACTTCAAACTCTAAACCGCGGAAAAAAGTGTTAATAATCCAAAATGAAACCGTGTATGCGTTACGATGCATACGACATCCAGTGGATATACATTATTATTATTATTATTATTATATCTAAAACAAATGTGGCTATTCACCGACGCTTACTACTTTTCACACTTCCCAAAGTGTACAAACATAGTCAGCCACATGTAATGACTCACCAACACCTCATCTCCTCTCTCTCTCCCAATATTTTTGTATCTCCTTTTGTACTACTACTATACATTTTTATTATTTTTAGGAGTTTAATTAATTGACAAATTTGGTCTCTACTTCCAATTGTACTACTAGAACACTTTTTTATTACTTCTTCTTCGTCCGTTTATTTTTTATTTATTCAGTAATATTAGCTTAGCACATCTTTAAAAAAAAATAATCATAAATACCTAATTTTATGTGACATCTTATTTATTTTTTTAATATGTTCTAAATAGAATAACATCTTATTATAATTAGAAATAATATACTTAAAAAATCATCTTTTACCTCTAATGAAATACCCCATATCCCTAATTATCTATCTACTTTTGAATTGATACACCTATTAAGAAAACAATTATTGACATAGTGAATTTACTATTTTACCCCTATTAATTATGAAGTAGTTGCATTAAAAACTTAAGATTTTCAAAAAGTTCTACATTTTTCAAAGTAATTAATTGAGGGTATAATAGATATAAAAAAAGTTATCCTTTCTTGATTTGTCAAAATGGACAAGTAATTAGGAACAACTAAAAAAGAATAATTAGGGACTGAGTGAGTAATTTACAACTAATAAATATCTAAGAATGATTTTAATCTTCCTTTTTTTAATTTTAAAAGGTGTGATAAATTTATAATGAACAAATAAAGCCGGACAAACAAAATACTATATTACTCTTTTATATAATTCAATCAACGCAGTTTACTAAGACAAAATTTACTGAATAAATGTGTTTTTTTTTAATCTTATAGATGATCGATCCTTTTTCAATATCAGTCAACTCTACATAAATGCGGATCTCGAGAAAGTAACTCCGTAAATGCAGAAGTAAAAATGTAATTACTAAATATTTTAGATGAGCAAAACAATTAACAATAAATAAATATAATTGGAATGAGATAAATATATGGCTTAATACACGAAAAATTAGGATATAGTATACCAATTAAATCGGAATATGATTAATTTGGATGACTGGATAAGAGATTCAGTAATCAAATCTAAAAAAACAATTGAGTCAAAACACGATTTAAACGCATGAAAATTAAAGGGGTCAAAAACGGAAGAAGCTAAGATTCCAAATAGAGACCAAATATTACATTTTGGATAAGATCAAAAAACATTGGGCCTTAATGGGCCTCACTTTTTTTTCTCTGTCTTCATGTTTTTTACACCACTCAAATAAAACTAAAACCGCTCTACGATAAACACGTCACCTCGAAAAAAGAGATTGGCACGTCACCCTCATTATCCACACCATTATTATCACCTCAAAAAAAAGGAAAAAAATAATTAATTACCATACCTTCTTTTTTTTCTCTTATATATACTGAAAACTCCCATTTCCCTTCCATTATATTCCATTTTTTTCACCATTAAAACAATCTCATTCTAGTTTTGGTTTTGAATTTGTGAGTAATTTAAACAGTTTCGATTTCCATTCAAATTTGTCTTCAATGGCTACTGCTATGGGAATGATGGGAAGTATTGGGGGTTGTGGAGCAGCTTCTGCATCTCTGTTTCGATTGAGGAACTCAGCGAAGAAGAAGACCAGAAACGACAAAAATGGATTTAGGGTTTCATGTGTTTATTCATCTTCTGCTGTTGCTGATCCGTATAAGACCTTGAAGATTCAACCTGGTGCATCTGAATCTGAAGTTAGAAAGGCCTTTAGACAGCTTGCTCTTAAGGTACGCACGCCATTGTTATCTGCTTTAAACCTGGAAATTTTGAATTTATTTTCATTAAAAAAAAAGACCGTTTTGGTATTTTTATATGCGTTTAATTGAATTTTAAGTTATTAATATGATGTATTTTATTGGATTACAGTATCACCCGGACGTATGCAGAGGAAACAATTGTGGTGTTCAATTTCACCAAATCAATGAAGCTTACGATGTAAGTTTTTGTTCATATTTGCTTAGATCTTATGTGATTAATTTATTTTTGTTTTTGTAAATAACAAGATAATTAAATACGTATGTTTTATCAGATTTAATTAGTATAGAAGCTAAAATTTTTTTCTTTATAATTAATACTATAATATAAATCATAGTGGTGGACCCTTTGTGTTTTATGGAATATGACTTTTTGCATAAACCAACGGCTTCTATACAGATAAAGGCTTACTTGATGGTTTTTCTGACCAATAAAATTAACAAACGTAGTGGGTATATAATCAACTTGTAAAAATGGTCCCTCTTTTGTACCAATTACCTGAATTTTTAAAATAGAATGACATGATCCGACTTATTTGAGATTGAGACGTAGTTGTTTGTATATTTTGTCATAGAAAATCTTTCGGCTGATGTGATTATGTGTGATGCAGGTTGTGATGAGTAATTTGAGAGGTGAAACAAGAGCAGAGTTAGAGATGATTGAGGAATATGATGATAGTAATGATGAATCAATGAGAGGAATGTATGAACCAGATTGGGATCTATGGGAAGAGTGGATGGGATGGGAAGGTGCTGGCATTCGTGATTATACATCACATGTTAATCCTTACATATGAATGTTAATTAATGAGTTAGGGATTCGAAAACTCAAGAATTTGAAGACCCATCCATCTTCTTTAAATCAAAGATGGTTTGAGGTTGATGTACATATTCAATAGGATGTAGAGGAGGTTCTTTTTGTACATATTTGGATACCCTCCTTGTTTGCTCTTTACCAATTGTATTCATCTCTCGTTGATAAATAAAAAATCATATTTCTTATAATATAACTTGCACAAATTGGCAACTATGTTGTTGGCTAATGAATCGGAATTTTATCTTTAATAATTTTAATGTTAACTCCTTTTACATAAAACAGAAATTTGTACATGCTTGCCTACCTATGTAAAAAGAATTATTCCTGATTTTAGCATATTATCTTCTATCTCGGGTTAATACCTCAAATGGTCACTCAACTTTTAATTTTCACTAAAAAGTCACCATGTGAGTGACTTTCTGAAGAAAGACTAGATAGTTGAGTGACCATCTGAGGTATTAACCCCTTCTATCTCCACGAGGTAGCAGATGGATATCACTGGATATACGTCATGACCAAATGAAGCAAAACTCAGATCATCAATCATATATAGTTAATCTACGTGTGTTTAATCAGAAGTATAGAACGTGACAAGAAAGGAAACGTTCTACATATATGAGCATGAAGAAAAAATTGAATGAACTTCACCATGTTCAACCCAACATACTTGGAAGATAAAAAACACAAAACTATGTTTCCTTTCGTGATTGGTTTTGTATGCAATATATAGTTCATATTACACAAGTTTGTCCAAAAAGAGGCATTTATGTGAAGTTCTTTGGGAACAGCATGCACCTAACTCAAAGGCTGAAGGAACTGGCACCGAAAACCTGGTTGAAGTAACTCTTTTCATTATTTAGTTGAGGATGAACCAGCAGAGAGCCTCGCACTCCGTGCCTTATCAGCTTTCTCCAGGTAATCTTGGTGAGATTGTTGCTTGGAGCCTTTCAAAGAAACAGGAAAGATTCATTAGCTTTCCACCCTTCCTGATATCCACATATGAAGCGGAGTTGATGGAACACAAATGTATTTTATGACAATAATGCTGATAGAAAGGTTAAGAGGAGTACAACAAATGGACACAATACATCGTGTATAGCTCGTAAGGTGGTTGATCTTCCTTTCTCAACAGAACAAGTATTACAAAGAAAAGTAAAAGGATGCTACGGGAAGGGGTAAGAAAGCTTCGAAAAGGGTCATACAGCAACTGAGTAACAAAAGAACTCTTATTAGTATCAACAGTCAACACGTTAGGCATTGTTCACCATTTTATTATTTCTTTACATTTGAGTACTCAAATCCAGCAAAAACAATCAAATACCACTCCAAGAAGTGATAACAACACCTCCATAAGAATGTACAATATTGCATAAAAATTGGTTCCAGAAGCTGAATTGACCATTTGAAATTGAATTAAGCTGTACTCCATACAAATAGATGAAGGAAATAGTGACCTTGCATAGTCATAGGCAAACGTGATTGGATAACCATTTTGGACAGATTTATGCTTATAGCAACTGTTAGGATTCATATATAGCTTGTACATGACACATCCAGTATCTTTTATATCTTTTTAGTTATCAAAAAAATCTTCTTTTTTTTTTGATAACTGAGAAATCCGTCTGTGACCCGCCCTTTGAACCAATCACAGCCTTCTAAACTCAGTGGATAATGGGCCCGCCCCTCTACCCTTCTCCACTTAAATACCGGGCTTTGCTTTGCATGGTGTGGGGCTTGAACCTGCGACCTAAGCCACAAATCCTCCACCTTTTGCCACTTGAGCTAGGCTTTAATTCTTTTAGTTATCAACTTATGTACAATTATAAGCTAGGTGCTTTCAAGTTTCAATAGATTGACCTAAACAAATCCCATAACAATAAAAGCCATAGAAAGACAACATCGGATATCAACACACTCTATCGCCTACAGAATCTAAAAATCACTAAGTGAGGCACAACATTACAACTACGAAAGTTTACAAAATTATTTAGCTGGAATGAGGGTCGTGCAGCTATACCAACAATATTTTTCATGAGATGAAGTTTTTAGAACCACAAAGGAGTATAATGTTATGTGCATGGGCGTATGGCATCCGTTTCTCATGAATTCTCTTAATATATACATATCAACTCTGCCAGTTTCACTCAATTATGTAAAATGGAGTAGGTTCCTTACATTTCAGCCTTTTAGAGTGAATAACAGTCGAACCTTATCAAGTGGAGAAGGATAGAGGGGTGGGTGCATTAACTGCCGATTTTCAAACAGTGCGCCACTAGCCCTAAGGATTTCTCAGTTATAAAAAAAGTTATGTGTTGCCTTTATATTAGTGTAAAGATATAGTACTTGAGCCTAACTCAACCCCCAAAGCTAGTTCATGAATGGAGGATTGATCAAATCCATATAAGCAGATTACCCAGTCCCATCCATTCCCCAACTAATGTGGAACTCTAATCCACTCTAACAATTTGCATTTACACGTACTTGTTTCTCTTGACATAGACATATTGACAGATTCTATCCATAAGGAAATCAAAGAACAACCCCAAAGACTCCTCCCTAACCCACCACCATAAGGAGAAAAAATCTTATGTTTTATCTTCTTATGGAGCACACTTGAAGTAACATCTGTTTGAAGTGAAGCAGCAAAATACGCAACAGCCGACAGCTCAAAACCAACACTTCTTTGCTTGTTCTAACACAGCTTTGGCTCGTGGAAACATCAAACAATACCATCATTGTTTGCCTTATTGCAACAAACAAGCAAGATATGTGGTAATTATCACCAATTTTATTTCGTTTACTAGTAAAGCAAAGAGAACCAGCATTATGAGAAACAATAAGTAATAAACAATGATGCAAAATCTACAGCAGGGGAGAAAATGGTTCACATTGTCGCTAAATCAGAGATTACCTAAATACTAATACTCTCTCATTCTTTAGAGACATTTTTACATTTTAAACTACACTAGGGTAAATATTTAAACGTTTTTTGATGCTTGTTATGACAGAAATTTTCCTTTTTGCTTTTCATGTTTTAGTAGTCTCAGATCAGTAGCAGGGTTATGAATAAAAGGGAATCAGATTCAAGGGAAGTAATTTTGATGGCACAAAATTCAATTCTTACACAGTAGTAGCCCGAACGGAACAATTGGATATCAAGGATTCATAATTCATATACATCAACCCAACTAGTTTGATATGAATCCATATTGTTTCTTGATGAATACCGCATTACGCCCAGACAAAACTTGATTTTTTTGGTGACTGATTTCAAGGGTGAGAGACCAGTGTAAGTAGGCTTATTTACTATTCGAATGAGGTGAAAAATACCAATACCTCCATGAAAATGAGTGATCTTTGATGATATGGATTCTAGGGAACTAAGGGTCTGGTCAATGTAGTAGGCAGAGAACCAATTATGTCTCAGGTTCAAATCCCTACTAGCAGATTAATTTCCATCTATCCAAGCCCCGACAGACAGAATTACTTGTGCTATTAGGCATGCACAAGCTGGCCCGAACAGCAAGGTTATAAAGAATATGGATCTGAGGCAACCATGGTAAGTTCAATCTCTTACATCAGTAGCAGGGTAACAAATAAAAGGGACTCAGATACAAATGGAAGCAATCTGGGAAGGAGAAAAATTGCACAACTTGTAATTGAATAGCGGGACCATTAGATATGAAGGATTCATACATTTAGTCCAATCAGTTTGAGATCGAGAGAGTAATTGAATTCAATAACAGTTAATTGCAATAAAAGGGTAATTATAATGACGAACCTCGGGTCATGAAGTACCAGGGAACACCGAAGAGGACTCCAATGACGGCGATGCCACCGAAGACGTGCTTCTTCTCACCGCTATATAATACATGCTCCAATTTGGCCCTAAACCCTCCTCCTGCTCCATTCATCTTCTTCGCTTCACTTGCCATATTCTTCTCCATTTGTTTCCCTTTCTACCTAAAGCCCTTAAACCCTATCGATTTTGTATTACCAGTATTTTCCAACAAAAATAAAGAAAGAGGCTATTCATTTTGAGTCTGAGCAGCTCGGTGGGCTTGTCGTGCACCCCCTTTACTCACGGCACGTGTTGACTTGTTCGTGGTGCAAACAACGCTTCGTCTTACTTTTCATTCCCTTTATTATTATTATTATTGTCCAATGGAGTAGTATATTGGAGTAATTTTTTTAGATACTCATTCATGTTCGAGAAATTATATAATAATATCACTTATATTTGTTTTAGAATTATAATATCACCAAATTTTATATATTTTCCTTAAAATATACTTAACAAGAAAAAATATTATGCTCACATTATTCATTTTTTTAATATAACTCATATGTTATATTCAGTAAAAGAAACAAAAAAATAATTCTTGATTATTTATTATTTTTAGTTTTTTACTTTAGCATATTAAGAGATAGACATTTTTTATTCTATTATTACATTTTAACATTAATTATTTTTTCTAAAATCATTTCTCAATTCATTCATTCGTTAATTTCTTAAAGAATATGCAAAGTGCACACTTTTACTGAATGTCATATAATATTATTCTTTTTATAATAATATTTTTATTTTATATTTTATATTGGGAAATTTAGTTTCTAGTCCTTCCGTACATCTTTACTTGTTCATTATTAATTTGACATATCTCTTAAGGAATAATAAAGATAATTTTACTATATGAATCTTTGAAAATAATAAATTTTATATTTAAAAAATGCATTGAAAAATGACTATAATTAATAATAACAGTAAATTAGGAATTAAGTAATAAATTATCACTTGATTTTCTAAAATAAATAAGTAACAAATGAATAATTATTTATAATGTATGAATAAATAAAAATGGACAGAGGGAATAGTTGCTAGAAAAAAATCCGTAAAAATAGTTAGTTGATATAATACTTTTGATTTTTTATGAGTACGTGAAAATTATCTTCTAACATCACGTTTTTTCCGTTCACTTTTACTTGTTTTTAATGTTCACCTTACACATTCTATAAGAACTTCATAATAACCAAAAATAAATATGAGTTTGTTTAAAAATGTTCACTTTGCGTTATGTAATTATTATTTTTACCGAGTATATCATATGGTTAATTTAAAAAGTTTTTTTTTAATTATTAGTAAAAAGGGAATAATATGTCATGTCATTCATTAGGAGAGAGAAATATG